TGGCCTGACTCACTGACCTCCCCTTGGAGCGGAGTAGAAGGGAAGGCACAGGAGGAGTGGGAAGTGCTTTGAATCCAGAGGCTGAACAGGTGTTTGCCTGGTATACCTGTGCCTGTGGGAGCTCCTGCTGCAGCCCATGTACCCATGCCAAACTCTAGACCCCAATTAGGTCTGGAAAGTGACTTTCAGTGATCATCCTGGGTTCATCCAATCCTCCCCTCTCAGAAAGGCAAGAGTCTCTCTTCAGCCTTTCTGTCCTAACGTGGAGCTGACTCCGAGTTTCAGCCACCCAAGCTCATGTTGCCATGCCAACTGCTCCATGGCAGGTGTCTAGGCAGAATGGGCTGGCGGATGCAGGCACATTTGGGTAATTGGGTTGGAGTAATCCACGAGGCCTTCCCTGCAGAAACCTGAGGCTTGGCCCATCTTCTGTGTAGACCTGAGCCTGTGGACACAAAAGGACTTGGAGGAGAGTCCTTCACTCCAGGACTCCTGGCCATGCTGTGGAAAGAGAAGGCTCAGCAGGCATGAAGGCCAGAGGAAAGAGCAATGACAAAAGACAAGCCCAGCCTCCCCTGTGGGCAGTTCCATCCTTCATCAACCTCCCAGAAGCTTCCTAAAGCTCAGAGAGCCCTTAGCTTATCTCAGCTTTGTCTTTGAAGATTAAAGTCAAAGTCAAAGCGAATGTCTACCCAGGACCTTGGATCCTCTGTACGGGTAGGTCCTGTGCAGCCTGAGGATGCCCTGCCCTTGTAAGGGCAGATCAGCAGCTCCCTGCGCCCACATGCCAGTGTGTCAGGTGAGGAGCCACACGCAGCTCAGGCCTCTCAGCAGCCTCAGTCCAGACTTCCCACGCAGGACACCTGCAGGTCAGAGAAGCAACCAGGTGTCTCAATGTCAACAGGTTCACTGGAAGCAGCAGCCACATTTTGGTGCCTCTTGTAGTGGTGGCCCCACCTCCCCAGAAACAGTGGAGGCTGTGACCTCTCAGGCTCTGCCCAAAGCTTGTCTGCCTCATCCTCTCCCAAAAGGATGTAGGGTGTAGGCTCCCAAACATTGCTCAGGAAGGTCCACTTTGCCCGTGAATTTTGGAACGTTCTGCTCCCTCTGACTATCCTGACTCCGAGGCCCAGTCCAGTCTTCACTGCAGGGGAGAGGGACAAGTTAGTGAAGGCTGTGGCTCTGGTCCGGTACTATGGATAGCATCTCATGCAGGGACCCACTGTTCCACGAGAGGCACCCAGGATGGATTTTGCTTGGCAAAGCTGCCAGCCTGAGCACCCACCTGTTCCAGGTGCCAGTGCCCAGGGGTGCCACATCCTGCCACGGCCACCCCGAGGACCTGAGGCTTCTCCGAGAAGTTGCCAGCATCTAGTGTTTAACTGTGATGCTCCTTTTCCTGGGGAAAGTGTAGATCAGACTAATGAATATGTGTTGTTTGTTTACCCTCCTTTCATTTCCCTAAGACAAAATAATTAACCACAGAGCTTTAGAAACCGCTCATCAGTAGCAGTCCCCTCTGTGTCTGTAGCAGCTTCTATGTGTAGATGCAAGGACCCCACGCAGGGCAAGACCCATGGTGGCGCCTGGTGTGGAGGCTGAGGGGCTCTCAACTAGGGACTAGGATACCAGAAGGACTTTGAATCATGGCAGGAAGGACTGGGGGGCTTAACGCTGTCTCAGCTCAGAAGATCCCTGCTGTGGCCTTGCTGCCCCTTAACTCCTGGGGCTGCAGGCTGCCTTGGATCCCACCGTAAGTGAATGGGCACCAGAAACATGCCCATGACCATCCCAGGAGAGGCAGAAAGACCAGGCTGCAGGAGTGGAGGGGCCATAGGGCCGATGAAGAGGGACTCTCTCTCCCCACCCCCAAAAGCTCTGTGCCAGCTAACAGCAAATCCCAGCTTGATTGGTCAGGGTTGGAGTGAGCCACACAGTGGGGCGAAAGGTGGAAGAGTTTCCCTGGGGAACCCTGTGATGAAGTGAGACCACATCCCCCTCTGAGCACAGCACAGCTCCAGCACCTGTGTGATACAGGTGAGTGCTATTTTGAGGGGAGCAGACAGACTGTCTCCTCAGTGGTCCTTTCTCCTACAGTGTCAACCCCCTCAGGCCTCAGCCTGCAGCCCACACTGCTGCCCACCCCACCTCTCCGTTAAGGCAGCAGGGTCCTAATTCCTCAGCCCAACACTGTCCTTTCCCTCCACAGACGGGGGCACAGCAGGACTCACACCCAGAGGAAGCCCCAAGTGCAAGTAGCTTCAGCTTCCAGTAGTGACAGCACTGGGGGTTGGGGGTGCTATAGGGGGGCCGCACAGGGCCTCAAGAGAGCCTGAGAGACTGACAATTGGGATTGGGGCTGTGGCCAAGACGAGATGGAAGAACAGGCCAGTAGGGTAGGAGCTCAGGTGAGGATGGTAGCCAGGGACAGGCTGGTAGTCTCAGGCCACAGAGATGAGGAGGAAAGAGGGAAGGGGTCAGGAGTGGATCTGCTGTAAGACTCTGGGGTGACATCCAGGTGGCCTCAGAAACTTAGCCCAGGACCTTGGTACCAACCACAGGGACTACTGGTGTCTTCATTCCTTCAGCAGGAACAGGACTCGTAGGTTGTGTTGGGAGCCTCGTGGATGTAGCATGGACGGGGTCCATGGGGACAGCTCCGAGTCCTCTCCCATGGAATTCTGCCAGCTCTACACACCAGTGGCTACAAGCTCACTGACGGCGGAAAGTCCATGGGCTGTGGCTTCCTCTCCAGGGTAGCGCCCTCTCACAGCAGTGTCTTGCTGCAATCTTGGAGAAGGGACTAAGAGTGCGTCCTAAAGTCTCCCAAGCCAGGTGGCAGATTTGGGAGGACTCTGGACACCCCAGCCCCTCTGAGCACTGGCCACAGAGTGAGACCTCCAGAGCCCCAGATTTCACTAAGGCCCTGCACAGAGCCAGTGCACTCAGCTGTGCTCTGCATAGACAACCTCCAGCTCCAAACTGTGACGTTCCAGTGTCTGCTTCATTGATATTCCCTGAGGGAAGGAAAATCCTTGTGAAATGCAATGGTCAGAACCAGACACGGCCACCAGCTTCAGTTCATCTTTGGACTTGAAGCCCTGGTCCCCATTTCGCCTTCGGCCCCAGGATGGTAGCCACAGGGTTGCACTTGGGACACTGACAGGCCACACAGACACCACCCCCACACCCACGATGCTGACTAGAAAACAGCTGCCTGCTATCTGGTAAAAAGCATTACAGAGCAACCTCAAATCAAAGCTCCGTCTTTGGAGTGCCTGCTGTGCCAGCCTGGGGCTCTGGAGGGCCCTTGTGCAGATCTGGAGCTCCTGGTTTCCTGGGGAGGTGGCCACTTCCCAAAGCATTTGTGATACAGAATGACAGAGACCAGGCCATTCTCGCAGGGGACAGGACCCCACCGTGGAGGCATCTACGTGCCATCTGGGCAAGTGGGGGACAGAGTCCTCTCTGGGAAGATGACTTCTGGCCTGAGTCTCAAGAGAAAGGGTGAGTGAGGCAAGGGACAGAGGGACGGAGAGAACAGGACACCCTTGTCACAGTGAGTCAGAGGGGAGCATCACAGGGGAAGGGGCTACAGAGACGAGCAGGCCTGGCTGAGGAGATGACCCTCCAGCCATCGAGTGGAGAGTGCAGGTTGACAAAGTCGGTGAAGGGTGATGCAGTCCAGGCCCACAGAGGTTCCAGCAGGAACAGAGGGTACAGATGGGATACGGTGACCGAGATGATACCCAGGCCCCTGCCTTGGGGGACTAAGGATTCGTGAGGAGGAGGAAGAGAGGGCGTAGGGCCAGGGTGAACGATGGCAACATGGGCTCAACCTCCTGAGGTGGCTGGGCCAGTGCGATTGAGCTGGAAAGGACACACCAGCTCATCCGGTGAGAGGGCGGGAGGTCATGCTTGTATGAGCTCCCTTCGGAATGAGCACCCACAGCCCCTGGATGCTGGGACAACACAGGCTCTTGTCTCTCTTGGCTGGACACTCAGCACAGTAAATGAATATTTGTGCCTGGCAGTGTGGGCCTGCTCTGAGACGCACTGTGGCTCCTGTACAGCCTGGGACAGGAACCCAGAGTGGATGTAATCAGGTAGCTGTGGGCCTCACCTGAGGCTGCATTGGGAAGCGCGAGCAGGAAAGCAGTGAAAGTTTGGGTGAGACACATGCAGCCCCAGGGAGCTTCTCCGAAAGTCCCCAGCACTGTCAGGGTTCCTGCAATGGGGCCCTCTGGCTGGGGGTCCTGTGGGCTCCCTCGGGTGAAGCACAGAGCTTGGTCACTGCTGCAAATAGGGCCACAGTCAGAACAGGGCTATGTCGGGGTGGACTGCCTTCTTCAGGCCTGCCAGCCAAACTGCCCTTTGCTCCAGGACACTTTGGCCCCTTCTCTGTCCTGACCTTGTTGCTGTTCACTGATAGGTTTGTTATGTTTGCAGCTCCTTTGACCCAGGGTCACTATCCACCTCTTACTATTTATTTATTTTTGGTACTAAGGTTTGAACTCAGAGCCTCTCACTAAGCTATATCCCCAGTCTGGGCAACTTAGAGATGTTATAATTGTCCTGCCTCAGCCTCCCAGCGTTCTGGGATTATAGGTACAACACCTGGCGTGACCACCCATTTTAAACACATCCCTGACTTCTGAAGGCTGCAGGCTGCTCCCGGATGATACAGTACAGGCCCCAGCATCCTCTGGGATCCTCATCCTGTCCCCTTTCCACCCACAAAGTGGTACGCCTCTGAAAACCTGGCCCATTTTTTAAGCAGTCAGTTTTCAAGATCAAGGCAGTCAGTTGTTAGGGACACTCACGTCAACGTGCTGTTTACTCCAAGAGAACAAAATACAAACACAGGCAAATGGAGTGTGCTGGGGATATCTCTGGGCCCCCAGACATCCCACATGCACCTGCTAGCTCCAGCCTGGTCCTCAGAACAGTCCTGCTCCCCTAAAGATCCATAAGAGACACCTTGCTTTCTGTCTCCGCAGGTTTGGAGTAGGCCTTGGTGTCCCAGCATGGCCCACTGACATGAACCATGACCGGCTGGCTGACACTCGCCACTAACCACCCAGACTCACATCTCGCCAGGAGGTGACCCCTCGTCCAGCTGCCCCCCCAGCTTGCCCATCCCTGCCCAGGAAAGTGCCACAGCTGCCACGGACACCATGTAGTAGGGCCGGCCGCGGCGCCCAGTGAGCTGCGATGGTTTTGTACAGGACTCCCTTTCCTAATAGCTGTCTGTCCGCCCTGCACGCCGTGTCCTGGGCTCTCATCTTCCCATGTTACTGGCTGGTGGACCGGCTGATAGCCTCCTTCATACCCACCACCTATGAGAAGCGTCAGCGCGCAGACGACCCATGCTACCTGCAACTGCTCTGCACTGCCCTCTTCACGCCCATCTACCTGGCCCTCCTCGTGGCCTCGCTGCCCTTTGCCTTCCTCGGGTTTCTTTTCTGGTCTCCCCTGCAGTCTGCCCGCCGGCCCTACATCTACTCACGGCTGGAGGACAAGAGCCCTGCCGGCGGGGTGGCCCTGCTTGGTGAATGGAAGGGCATAGGGGCTGGCAAAAGCTTCTGCTTCGCCACTGCCAATCTCTGCCTCCTCCCTGACTCGCTGGCCAGGCTCAACAACGTCTTCAACACCCAAGCACGAGCCAAAGAGATTGGGCAGAGAATCCGCAATGGCGCTGCACGGCCTCAGATCAAAATCTACATCGATTCGCCCACGAACACCTCCATCAGCGCAGCCAGCTTCAGCAGCCTGGTGTCACCACAAGGCGGTGATGGTGGGGCCAGGGCTGTCCCTGTGAGCATTAAGAGGACAGCCTCTGTGGAATACAAGGGCGATGGCGGGCATCACCCCAGCGATGAGGCTGCCAATGGGCCTGCCGCTGGGGACCTGGCTGACAGTGGCAGCCTTGAGGACGCCTGCATTGTCCGCATCAGTGGCGAGGAGGGAGGGCGGCCACCTGAAGCTGAAGACGCTGCCACGGGGAGCCAAGCCAGGAATGGGGCCAGTGGGGGCCCAAAGGGCCAGACACCCAACCACAATCAGCGGGACGGGGATTCAGGCAGCCTGGGCAGCCCTTCAGCCTCCAGGGAGTCCCTGGTAAAGGCTCGAGCTGGGCCGGACAGCAGCGGCGGTGGGGACCCGGGGGCCAACAGTAAGCTCCTGTACAAGACCTCGGTGGTAAAGAAGGCAGCCACACGAAGGAGGCGGCACCCTGATGAGGCCTTTGACCACGAGGTCTCAGCCTTTTTCCCTGCCAACCTGGACTTCCTGTGCCTGCAGGAGGTGTTTGATAAGCGGGCAGCTGCCAAGTTGAAAGAGCAGCTACATGGCTACTTTGAGTACATCCTGTACGACGTTGGGGTCTATGGCTTCCACGGCTGCTGCAGTTTCAAGTGTCTCAACAGTGGCCTCCTCTTTGCCAGCCGCTACCCCGTCATGGACGTGGCCTATCACTGTTACCCCAATGGTCGCGGCTCCGATGCCATGGCCTCTAAGGGAGCGCTGTTTCTCAAGGTAGGAGGCCTTGGCCTGACCTGAGGGCCACATGCAGCTGGTCCCCGAGCCACATGGGGAGCTGGGCCACAGCTGAGGAGTCCTCCTCATCCTATGGGGCTGAGGTGGGAGTCACACAAGGTATTTCATGGAACTGAACCACAGGTCCCCAGCTCAGGGACAAGAACCAAGGTCCCAGGCTCAGGCAGATCTCACAAGGAGATTGGGACCGGTTTTCAGATCTCTAAGCTGCCATTTTCTGGTCTATAAAATGCAGGCAGGTGCGGGGGCGGTGAGAACCATGAAGCAAGCCTGGGAGGGGCCTCTGCTCCGGCAGTACGTGGTTACAGTGGCCCTGGTGATGCCAGCAGTGACAAGGGAGGAAGAGGAGAAGGAAGAGACCAGTGCAGAGCAAGGGCACAGGCAGAAAGGTCCACAGGGCCGTGGCCACACCCAGCTTGAGGCCACCAGCTCACTGGCCCAGACAGCCTCCCTCCTGGCCGTCAGCAGCTGCCACACCAGGCTCTCTGCCCACCAGCCCGTGGCTTCGCTTCCATAGTCACTAATTAAAGTGAATCACAATTATTTCTGCTAATTTGGATGCAATTGGAGTTTTTAGACCATGGTAATTTGGTCATTACGCATTATCTTATCTAAGCCATAGATGCTCAGTGTCGACTTTTTGTTCTCTATCCAGAAGCTGCTCTCAGTCCTCTGAAGCAGCCCTTGGCAAGCTGATACAGAGCAGGGCTTCGTGCTCCCAGGGCAGCAGCTGCTGCAGGTGTGGCTCTCACCCCTTAGGGAGATAAGTGACAGAGATGCTCCGCAGGGAGGGTGTGGCCCAGAGGCCAGGCCAGGCTTCCTTGCTTCTCGGCTCATGTCTCAAAGCACCACACTCAGCCTGTCCAGAAAAATGCTGGCACCTGCAAGGATGGGGACGACTGTGTCTACGGAGCCTGCTGGAGGCAGGGCGGTCACCCAAGGGCTCCAGCCCCTGACTCCCAGGTAGGCAATGTCTCACGTGTGGCTCTGCCAGGCCACAGATGAGGTACCTGGAATTTTGTTGGTTTTTTTTTTTGAGACAGAATCTTGCTATGAAGTTCAGGCTGGCCTTGAACTCACTATGTAGCTCAGGCTGGCTGTGAACTCTACAGTTCTCCTGCCCCAGCCTCCCAAGTCCTGGGATTACAGGTGTGCACCACCACACTAGGCCTGCAGTGCCCAGCTCTTTCTTTATTCACAACCGGAGAAGCTGAAATTGCATCAGCTTCTCTGACAAATAGATCCAGCCTTCCTGTTCTGGCATATGGCTCATATGGTGCTGTCCTGGGCATATATTTTTCTCAGCAGCCAGATAGACTTTCTGGGGAAGACAGGGATAGGTTTTCAGGCTCAGGGTGGGAATGTGTACTCTCTGCACCTCTGCCAATTTCAGATGGCTCTGAAGCCACAGACCATTCCCAAGGCCACTTCTATGCAGGCTGAACTACTTGTCCCCTCCTCACCTACTTCCTCTGCCAGGCACCCAGCCACTATTCCCACCAAGGTCAACAAGCCTTGCTGGAACAGCCCCTCCTCTGCAGCTCTGTCCTGAATGTTCTTTTTGTGTCCTTTTACCTCCCGAGTTTCAAATTCATCTGTAAATATGTTTAATTTGGTCCATGCCACTAAAAATATTTCTTGAATCAGCCAATGTTTTAAGGAAGATACTTCACATAAAACTTAGTTCACACCCTCTCTCAACACCTCAGTAGATCGTTTCACACAGCTGCAGGCAGCCAGACCTGGGGGCTGGGACAAAGCCCACTTAGCCAGCTCTCTTCATTTCCCAGTGACCCCACAGTCAGCCCTGCCCCTTCCCGGGAAGTGTGACCACACCTGCCCTCGCTGATGACCCTCAGCTTTGTCTCAGCCCAGCTCTCTCCCTATAGGGGGATGGCTGTTCCCCAGACACATCCCAGTCACTCCCAAACCAACTTCATCATCTGCCGTAGGGCCAAAAGCATCATCCTGAAGCCAAAAGGGCCACTTTGGCTATTCCTTGTACCCACCCTTCCTGTCCCTTTCATTTCAGATATCCCTGGCTCTGCTCTCATGTCCAACTCCACTGTCTTGGCTGAGGCTCCATACCCATGTTGGCCTAACTGCTGGTGGCTGTCTGTCCCCTTCTCACCTAGGCCAGACTGCCTTTTCTACCCCGACTGCCTTGGTGGAAGCCCAGAGTCCCACCTGTCCTCTCATCACAGCCTGAGCTCTGCCCCCTGCCATGCCTCACCCCACATCCCACTGGTCTTGGTCCTGCCCACCTTGGGCCAGCTCACAGCCTGGTACTCAGCTCTTGCAGCCTGTCCTTTCAGACATTGCCCTGGAAAGCAGAGCTATGTGCTGGGGGCATACAGAAGACTCCAGTACACCTCTGTAGATCTGCCTTGGAAGAGAGGAATCAGTGGGGCTTCAGAGGGTCAGGCCTAGCCCAAGAGGGGCAAGGATTGCAGGAAGGGTGCTGCTAGCCAGCCCTTCTTCCATTGCCCCCCTCATCCCACCTGCCTTGCTAAATGTGCTCTGTGCTACTTCAGACCCTGGGGAGCTGTGACTCCTTGTGAAGGAATGGACTGGAATCGTTTGTGCCTCCATCCAACAGAGCATTTTTTTTTGGATCTTTTATATTGAGTCCTACCAGGACTAAAAGGCACAACCCCTCCTTGGTATGATTGTTTTTGTAAGAAAAACACAAGACTCTGGCTCTTAAGGACACAACCCAGGAATCAGTTAAGTCCCAGGAAATAACAAAGTGGGTCCTGACAAGACCCAAGGGTGTGTGAGGCAGCACCTTCCTTCTGGCTGCCTTCTCCTCAGCAGGAGAGTCGGTCTGATGCCTGTCTGCCCATGTCCTGTCCCTGACCAGAACTCAGCACAGGTCAGGCAATGATGCTACGTGTGAGCGAGGGAGAGGCTGACATTAAGATCAACAAGTGGGTGGCTGGAGAGAAGCCAGCAAAGACACTTGCATCCCAGAAAGGCTGTGGTAGCCAACAGATCTGGCACACTGCCGCCTTGCTCATCTGAGCCTTGAGAAGCCTGACCACTTCACTGGGCCTCAGTGTACTCATCTACAAGAATGGCAGGCTTTTAGTGTCCTCATGGTGGATGTGAGGAAGCCTTAAGCCAGTGCTCCCACTGAGGGGAACTTGTTGCCTGAGGAGCACGGGGGCCATATTACCATCGTGTGCCCTTTCGGACTACCGTACTTTGATGACAGGCACATCGATGGTGGATGACTTCATGGCCTTTCCAGGGGCAGGCATACTGTTAGGCTGCAGTTTGGATCTGGGAATATGGAGGTCAATGATGAACATGTTAGTGCAGAAAAAAAAAAAAAATTCAGGCCACAAAGCCCATTACCAAATACTGAGATATTTATATCACAAACACTACAAAAGGAAGATGGGCCACCAGGCTGGGTGAGGGAGAAGCTGTAGAAAGCCAGTGGTGCATCCAGATGGAGAACAACTACCCACATTCAGGAGTGAAAGGAAAGACAGATGTCATCTGGGGCCTGTGACACGGCTGTGGGACACTCAGGCAATGATTGAACAGGCAGTTAGGCCTCGAAGCCCACCTCCCTGCAGTCTCTGAGTCTGGGGTCTCAGCATCACAAGAAATTCAGTCTAGCAGGGACTACAAAGTTTGGGTAGGGTGGCTCAGGCTCACCATGGAGAATGAGGAGCTAACAGAGGCCTCTGGGGGACAGATGCCCATGGTGTCCCCGGGAAGCAGGCCAGTAAAGGACTTAGCCAGTGGCCTCCCGCAACTGTACTGTGATCAGGCCCAGGACAGCCCTCAGGCAGCAGGGTAGTGGCACTTACTACCCCCAATCACAGCACTGATGAGGGCCTAAACTTGAGCTTGACCCTGGGTGGTGATGCCTTGAGTACACTGCAACATACAGTTGAGACACACGTTTATTAAGTCAACTACTAGAGACAGCCTGCCAGGATCACCTGCAAGTTGGATGACTCCTACCTCCTGCAACTCTGTCCTTGAAAAAGGAGATGAGGACAGAGATCCAGGGGCAGCAGAGGTGTGAGGGCATGATGAAGCCACTGTGGAGGAGGGGGGCCTGGGTTTACTGTGACACAGGGGTCCAGGGACAGGGGACACAGTTCAGAGCTCCCACTCCCAAGCTGAGGGACTTCAAGGGACCATGGTCTATAAAGCAGATGAAGTGACTTAGCACACAGCTAGGGGGCCAGAGGCTGGGGACAGAGATAGCAGTGTCCCAGACTCCTCGCAGTGGAAGGAGGAGTGGCCTCTGAGGCCAGGTCCACACACAGGGAAGGAAGATAGGGTAAAACCGGATCTCAGTAGTGGCTGAGGTGGGAAAGAGCCACCAGCCATGGACAAGGAACTGAGGGCTGTGTAGGTGGGCACTCTGGTCACCAGGAGTTGCAGACTTGGAACTTGGCTCGGGGGTCTGCACTTTCCCTCACCCGCTTCACACTGCGGGTGTAGGCTGTGCATCACTGTGAGCCAATGTTTCCTTGAGACATCTGGCCTGTCCTCCACAGTGGGTTGTAACTCTGGGGAGCGGGACGTGTTATCTTCACCTGGGTCCGAGCCTAAGGAGCAAGGCTTCTGAGGGTTTCCCTGGGAGCGAGGGTGGGCATGGCCCACGTCTCAGTGGTGACAGGTAGGTGACAACACTGATGCCCAGTCTCGCCCCCAGGTGCAGGTGGGAAGCACACCTCAGGACCAAAGAATCGTTGGATACATCGCCTGCACACACCTGCATGCCCTGCCAGGTAGGTCACCACAGCCTGCAGCTTCTCGAGGGTGGGTCCAGAGCCTGGGCCCTGGCATGGCCTTTATTTTCTGGTCTCTGCCCTGCAGAGGACAGCGCCATCCGCTGTGAGCAGCTGGACCTGCTTCAGGACTGGCTGGCTGATTTCCGAAAATCTACCTCCTCCTCCAGCACAGCCAACCCCGAGGAGCTGGTGGCGTTTGACGTCATCTGCGGAGATCTGAACTTTGACAACTGCTCCTCTGGTGAGGCCGTGCTCCTCCCCTCGGACTGGGTTCTGCGAGCTGCTTGGGCTCCAATCGGGTTAGGCAGCTCGAGAACTTCCTGCTCCTCAGGAGTGCATGTGTGGGAAGCTTAGCCATACTAGAAGTCTCTGCCGCCCAGAAACCCTCAAGTAGAAGAACACACACTCTACCTGGAAAGCTCAGTGGTCCCCTGTTGGAGGCAGTGATGCCCTAAAAATGAACCTGTGTCGAGGGAGGCTGGGGCTTCAGAAACTTGGACTGAGGGAGAACTGGCTAATTTAGTGCTCACACTGCCCTAGGCAGGGTTCTCTAACTGCTGTTCCATTTACATCTCTTAACGACAGGAGGTAGGCACTGTATTTGTCAAGGAAGCTGGGACTGAGAGGTTGAGTAACTCCCCAAGGTCACACAGCTGGTAAATGCCTGAATGGGCATTCTGAATTCTGGGAATCATGCCTTAACTTTTATGAAGGGCTCTAGTAATATTAAAAGTTCGTTATTGCCAGGCATGGTAACCCACACCTGTAATCTCAGCACTCTGGGAGGCAGAGGCAGGGGAATTGAGTTCAGTCCTAATGGGGGCAATTTAGTGATTTAGAGACCCTGTCTCAAGATTGAAAAAAAAAAAAAAAAAAAGGCTGAGAATGTGGTTCAGTGTGAAGGTTCTGGGTTCAAACTCCAATACTAGTTTTTTAAGTGAAATTTGAAATACTGATTTAAATAACTGATTTTACAAGAGTCTCCTGGGAGTTTGGCTCTAAGTCTCCACAGTCACTGGGATCCCCAAGTCAGGATAAGGACCCAGCACATACAGCTAGAGGGTATGGGGAGGGAGAAATCGCACCTGGTCAGGCCCCTCAGGGCCCTTCCCTCCAGTCCTCCACAGAAAGAACCTTCTGGCTCAATGAGTTGGCAGGAAAAATGGGAGTCTAGGGAGGACACCTCCCTCCCTCAGCCTTGTGGGGTGCCCTCTCCCTCAGGGCTGGATACCAGATTGTGAGGAAGGCTGGAATCCTGCCTGGGTAGTATCGGCCAGCCTCACAGGTTTGCCACAAATCTGTAACCTTGAGGTTGCTGTCCCTTGGAGCCCAGGAGGGATGGTGATCATTGTCCTCAAACAGAGGGAAGGTAAAGGGGTGTGTGTGTGTGGATATTTTCAAGGACATGGAAACCAGTCACAATGACCCCAGGACCACCTGTGGAAACACAGAACCCACCCAGAGGCGGTTATATAAGGACCAGGTAACAACGCATAGCACCTCCTTCTTCCCACAGACGACAAGCTGGAGCAGCAGCACTCCCTGTTTACACGATACAAGGACCCCTGCCGCCTGGGGCCTGGGGAGGAGAAGCCGTGGGCCATCGGTGAGCTAGGCCCAGGAGGGGCTGGCGGGTGGCTGGGGTCCCCACGGGCTCTCTGAGGGACCACCAGGACCTGACCCCAAGCCCATGGAGGCCACCTCCTAGCTGGGTCCTGCCTGCAATGATCATTCTTGCCCTCACCCTTAGGTACCCTGTTGGATACAAATGGCCTCTATGATGAGGATGTGTGCACCCCTGACAATCTGCAAAAGTAAGTACCCAGGTGGGGACCCCCTCTACACCAGCTCCCAGTCTGGACAAGGTGCTGAGAACCTGACTCTCATGATAGATGCAAGCTGGGAAGGGACACAAGAGCCAGCTCAGCTCAGGCCAGTGAGCTCAAGCTCCATGCAGTGGGAGCCGCTTCTCCAACTCTTGACAGCTTCAGGCTCTGTGCGGGTGAAAGCTGTTGTAGCCCTGGCACTGGGCTTGCAGAGAAGTCTCAGAGCTACACACCATCTCAAAGGGATGCTTCCTGACCCAGCAGCCAGTCTGGGCCACGTGGAGCCCTGCTGATAGGGTGAAGGCAACCAGAACTTTCCACGACCAAGCCAAGTGCCAACCTCTGTACCACTGTCACTGGGTAACAAATCTGTAGAAGGGAGCCAGCAGCTTGTGGAACCAATTAGGGACATAAAATACTTTTGAGCAGAGAGAACACAAGCTGATCACTCTCCAAGTAGAGACAGTTCTATCCTGGCCAAGCTTCATTCCTGAACCCAGTGGCTTCCATAAAGGACACACTGAAGCCACACATGGTGCTGCAGACCTATAATCCTACCATTCAGAAGGCTGAGACAGGAGGATCACCACAAGTTCAAGACCAGCCTGGGCTAGTCAGTTCAAGGCCAGCCAGAACTACAAAGTGAGACCTTGTCTTAAAAAAAACAAACAGCAGGGGATCTGGCTCAGTGGTTCTGCCACCTACCTCACAAGAACAAGGGCTTGCCGGGCGTGGTGGTACACGCCTGTAATCCCAGCACTTGGGAGGCTGAGGCAGGAGGATTGCTGAGTTCGAGACCAGCCTGGGCTACATAGTGAGTTCCAGGTCAGTCTCAACCACATAGT